TGAATGATTCAAAAAACATTCGATTTCTAATAATGAGAAGACGTGCTAATTAGTTTTGGTGAACACAGGTCGAGCTGTTTCTAACATACGGAGCAAAAAGTGACAAAAATTAAAAATAAGTGGAAATAGCTTTATTTATATAACATTTTTAATACCATCACAAATAGAAAGGACAACCACTGAGTTTCCTTCTAATAATAAGTTTTAAGACAACAGTTTATAGAGCATAAGAATAGTGATTGCTGTTTAGAATAGCAAAATAATAAAATTATAATTAAAAAAAATATATTCAAAAACAAACAGTGACTCGAATATCATTATGTACTCGTATATGGCAAAGGTTTTGAAACTTCCTTTAACAAAATATTTCAAATTGTTTATTAATTTAAAAGATTAATGCAAAAAACAGCGCTTATATAGTCTTTGTTGGTATTACTATATGTGTATAACATAAAAAACCATCGTTTATTTATTATTCAAAACTGGTTTGTCGTTTAGCATATTCGGCTGTTACATAATACATTAATGTGTTAGTGATAACATTTGACTCGAATTTGTATAGTGTGTTAATTAGCAATAAAAACATACAAATAAATGACAATATTAAAAACGAAGGTTATGTAGAGCAAAGATATATCAAGACAAGATGTGCAGACGAAGGTCACAATAAAGGGCTTGTGAAATACGCAATAAATTGAACAAAAGATGGGATGTGTCATAGTGAATTACAAATGGAAATTAATATAATTGATATTGTGAAAACAGCTAAAGACTGATAGTAAATTATGTATATTAGAATAGGCGGCACCTAGTTTTAGTTTCAATTTAAATTAAATTTACTGTGTATAAAAAAAGCCCCATTCATAACTCAATATACAAATTTTAACAATAAAACATTATCTTTTTTATTTGGAATCTGTTTGAGAGTATTCCATGCTGTGTGATAGATAAATCCTGGATTTTTCAATAAATTGATTTATATATCTTTTCAAAACACTCAATCCAAAAAATAAAGAAAGAAAAGTTTTTTGAAGATGTTTAATTATGACGTTTTGGAACTGGATATGTTCCATCTCCAATTAAAAATTTGACTACACTTTATAAGCGATGGAAAAATTATTTATATATATATAAAATTTTGATACTAATGATATTTATATATACACATATAAATGGTAATTTCAAACCATTAATTATTTCTGGCTTCTATTTTAACAATTTTAATATATTTAGTATAAAATTTCAATTTATATATATTTTTTTATAATTTCATAGTTATTTACAGTAGAATATTGCAATAACGAAACCAATTTAATTTTCTTATAACATAGATTATATGTTATACTTTTAATTGTATGTATAAAAAACTTTTATCAATAAAATATTCTCTTTTTTATTTGTAATTTATTTGAGAGTATTCCATGGTTCGATAAATAAATCCTAGATTTATCAATAAATTGATTTATATGTCTTTCAAAACACTCAATCCAAAAAATCATTAGATTCAAAAAATAATTAGATGTGTTAAAATATTAAAAGCTAAATATCTCTTGATGTTAGATATCAATAACAATAACTGTATGAGAATGCATAAAAAATAATAAAATTCATTTTATATGTCAAAAGTAAAACCAGTTTTTTTTTATTAAAGTTTTGTTACTCTTCCTTATTTTCATTATAATACTATGAGATTTTTTTTTATTCTTTTTATTGAATTACAATATGTCTTTACAAAAAGGAAGATATTCAGTAATTTTGATGATATATGAAATATTAAACATATGAAATATTAAACAATACTATGAGAATGACATAAAAAATGAAAATGAAAATAAACTAGCGGTTTATGGCATCGTACCTTAAGGCAAATTGCTGGAACTTCCAGTACCATAATGAAATATTCGAGAAATTTTGAATGTTTCCATGTAGATTATTATAAATACTGTAACTTTCATTATACGTATCTTATAAAAGCTTATAAAATAGATGACGACGTTTATATTTGTTTACGTGAAAAGTAAATAAACAAAACTCAATCAAGCGGAGTTAGTATAAAACTCCTTATCTCATTTCTAAGAACTATTAAACTGAATTGCAAAATTAAGAATTATTTATTTCAAGTATTGGAATATTGGAATTTAGCTAAAATTTGGAATTTTAGCTAGAATTGAAATTAAAATCTGAACAATTTTTTATATTTAAATAATATTATTTTTTGTAATTTTGAGATAATTTTTTTGGCCTTCCGCAAAATCGTTTCTTCATACTGTCAAGACAAGCAAAATGTTTTTTGAATCAATGGAATCGGATGCTTCGTTTTCTCAAAAAATAATTTAATTTTCAGCACTTTTTGCTCTGCATCTCTTATAGCTGTCTGTTTCAAAAACTAATCATCATGTCTCACCATAAATAGGAATCGAATGTTTTTTGAATCATTCAAATCGGATTATCCGTGAGCTTGAAATCGTGGATGAAAAATTGAGAACATTACAAACACATACTACACACACATATACATCCTATTTCTTTAAGGTATGCCAAAATGTTCAGAAACTTCTGAAACGTAAATATAAGCAAAAATATTCAATTTCGATTTTTTTGCGATGACTATAAATTATCCTACGGGAAGTTAAAATATGGTCACCTTATTTACATGGCAAAAGTAAAACGTTTTTATATTAACGTCAATTTTCAAAAAAAAATATTGTTCGTTGCTTTTATTTTAATTTTATTAAAAGTATATCTAAAGAAAAAATAAAAGTTAAAATAAATTGTACTTTCAAAAAGTCAAAACTCAAGGCCACATCCATACGTCCAAATGCACTCATTCAACCAAAGTAGAAAAAATCCAAGTAAAAAAAATCCGTTTAAAAAATCCAGTAAACTAAATCAAATAATACCAAAAACCGCAAATAAAGGTTTACAAGTAGATATTTGTGGTGGAGCAAATGATAATGATAAGATTTTCAGTGAGTTTAAAAGTTAGTAGTACAATATAACTCGAGGAAAAATGTTCCAATAACGTCTATGCTAAATAAGGCTATGTTACGTAGCATTTCTTATATAAAATGGTACAAAATGCTATGTACATATTTGCTGTGCGATCAGGCCTTTTGATATAAAATCTAACTTCACTCATAAGTTTTTATCCCGTATCACAAAAATGCACTTACGATAAGATTGTGAATTTGACGTTGGTGCGTTTTCTAGGTTAGATTTTCTATCTAAAACACCTGACTCATAGCAACCATATAGCATTTGAAAGTTTAGTACCAACATATATGTTACGTAGCGTTTTTCATATAAAATGGTACTAAAAGCTATAGCCTTGCCATAACATTGGTCTATTTTACGGAAGAGTCGGTCCCATAGTTTATATAGTATATGTGAGAAATTGACAATATATTATTCAAATAATAAAGTTGTATTTTTAAAATAAAATTTTTGTATGTTAAAATAACTCCATAATGAATTGACGTATTACAAATATGGTGAATAAAATCGCATAAGGTATGAAAATTTAGGAGATTTAAATATAACTATTATTAATATGGATATGGCTAGAATTGAGAATCTCTATTTGTGTAGACTAGAATATAATGACAAAAAAGGTATAATAGTTTACGCACACAACAATTATTTGCATTAATTTACATTCATGAATACACGAGCAGCCTTGAACTAGTGTTTCATATGTCATTCCTGTTCGACTATAAAACATCATAATAAATATTGTGCGTCTATTATTTTCAGTATAGAGTAAACAATAGACAACAGCGACTAGAAATAATCGTATCTTTTCTCGAATTAATAAATATATTCTTTTAACAATGATTCTTTATAATTTATTTATTAGTAAAATAGACTTACGTAATTAGATAAAATGGTGATTTGACACGGGCTAGAGAAATATTGAAAATAAAGTACAGCAGCTTTTCAAAGTTTTAGTATATAGTACAAAGAAGTTTTAAAAAAATTCACTAATTGTAAGAAAACTGTATTTTGCATATGAAAGTTATTAATCTTTAAGCGAATATAAACCGTGTCAATTTGTCAAAATTATTTGAATAAAAGATTTTTTTTTATTAATAATGATTTGAAAGCTTATAGACAGGTCATATCATTGAAAGAAAAACTCGTAAAGCAAAAAGTAATATGTGAAAAAAAGTAATTTTCCTATAGGCATGTATGCAAAACTACATATAGATGCATACCTATAAAAGTAATAAAATCATCTAATTTTTGTGTAGATTCAATTAAACTAGCGGTTCGGGCATCGGGCCTTAAGGCAAATTGCTGGAACTTACCATACCAAAAATTTAAATTAAAAAAGAGATTTTTGAGAATTTTGAAATGTTTGAGAAAATTAGACTTTTTTGAAAAACCTGATTTTTTTTTACTTTGATTTTTCTGAAAATTTTTAACTTTGTTTCAAAGCAATCGTGCTGCATGGCTTATTTAGAGAAGAAATAACGAAACGCGTAAGCGCCGCATCGCAGAGAACGGATAAACATTTGAACGGTAGAATTGTAAACAAAATTTTTACTTATTATAAAAATGTCTATGAAATATGTGACAATTTTATGTGAATGTGGCTAATGATCATTCTTGACCCCCAAATGGTCCTCTATGATGACCCAAATGGTCCCCTATGATGACCCTTTGATGTGACATATGTCTATTAAATGTTCATTCTTGATTCCCAAATGACCCCCTAATGGTGACCCTAAAACTAAACATTTTGATTATAAAACTAAAACGCACTAATCAATCAATAATTCCTTTATTTTTCGGATTGAATTCTTCAATCCTGATATATTGCTATTAATTTTTTGCATCTTGATATATTTGTACATTGTGTAGTAACCAAAATATTCACTTTAATAGTTGATAAAATTCCGAATTTCCATACATTTTATATTCTGCCAGAAAATAATTAAGACAAACAGGCATATGAATAGTTTACAAAAAATTTAACAATTACTCATACTATCTCTTACCTAAATATTCTTGCTTTATCCTGTCTCTGCAAGAAAACAGCACGTTGTTGATGACACCAAGCTGCAACAGATGTTTCCATATTTCCACATTGAATTCATGATTTCTAAACAAAAACACAAAATTAATATACGACAAATTTTAACAAATTATAGTTACTTCTTTTAAAAAAAACTTACAGATTTACAGTGATGAATGATTTTAAAAGTTGACAAAACCTAAAATTAGTCAACCCATTTATCTGATGGTTTCATTGGAAAAATGAAAAATATATTCCTTTATGTTTTTGTTGATTTAAACGTGTTTTTATTGATAAAAATCACTGATCATTTTTCATGTATAAAGTTACAATAATTAATTAAAAACTCTTTACTATAAAAAAGCATTATGACTACACTTCCAACCATGTGTACTGTTCTAATATAAGACTGCAACATATATTTCAGTCCAAAATTAATTCTCTCCATAAAAATAATCAAGTCTTATAATTGTGTAACAAAATACTATATGGAAATTTCAAATTACCTTAGCAGCAGATAAGAAAAATATCTTCCCACATTGCTTTCTAGGTACAGCAAAGTGAATAAAATTAATCAGTATAATAATCTTATTTCAATTCTAATTTCCATTTCCATTTTCATTTTTATTGATCGCGTAGTTGAAAGCATTTCCTTTATTTATTATATCGCATAATTGGAAATCGGATACACAAAATATGATATAATTCAATGTCGAGATTCAATTATCATGACCAGAGTTTCGCGAGCTTAAGCCAATTATGGTGATGCGATGCCTGAAGATTATATAGAAATAATATTCATCCTCAATGGTAAAGTTCCGTACTCAATGCAACTACTATGTCGAACTATAGAGATTAGTCCAATTAAGAGAAAATTTTAAATTTAAATACTCCTAGTATCAATTATATAGAGAATAATTAGGTAAATTAGGAATAACTATATTTTATAGATTATTATTTTCCGTATGGTAAGTTATATTTATCGCAAAAAATAAAATATTTCAATATATTCACGTTTCAAACGTTTCTTAACATTTTGGCTTACCTTAAAAAAATGGATGTATGTGTATTTGCATTGATGTATGTAGTATGTACATCCAAATTTGTATGTTCAGATACAAATTTTCACCCACGATTTCGAGAACATGAATCAACCGATTTGAATAATTAAAAAATTATTAGATTTTTTGACTGATTAGTTATTGACCAAGACAGATCCAGCAATTTTGAAGATAAAGGGCAAAAAGTGCCAAAAATTAGTAAGCGGTAATTCAGTTTTTGAAAAAAACAGAGCTTCGGATTTGAATGATACAAAAAACATTTTGCTTGTATTGACGAGATGATGAGTTGATTTTTGGAAAAGCAGGTCCAGTGTTTCCGGAGATCCAATGAAAAATGTAAAAAAAAATGTAAAAAATGCCATTTGGCGGTCAAAAATGATCACCAGATACATGCGCATCGAATTATCACATATTTTATAAAGATTTTAATAATAGGAACATCTTTTGTATACATTTCTATGATCTTTTGTATACATTTCTGTACTAAGGTTAATGATGTTTAACCGTTAGAAGAAACGCGGCGCTTACGCGCTTTGATATATGGTCTGAAACACAACGCATTGCGATTGCTTTGCGAAAAAAAAAATTCGCAAAATTTTAAAATATAAAAAAATTCAAGTTTATCAAAATCGTCAAATTTTTTCAGAGTTTTTAAAGCTATTAAAAATTTAAATTACGGTACGAAAAGTTTCAGCAATTTGCCTTAAGTCACGATGCCATACACAACTAGTTATTAACTTTCCGAAGGAGAAGTTTATGTTTTCATCAAAAAAATCCGATTCGCTAATTTTATGTTTCTCGACGTTTCAAGCCATTCGGAATCGAATGAGACCAAATTTGGAAAAAATATGTGTGTGTGTGTGTGTGTGTGTATGTGAACAGATTTTTTGCCGTAAATCGACGTTTTCTCGAAAACGGCTGGGGTCGATTTTAAAAATTTAAAAGCCATTCGATGTATCTCGACGAGAACTATTGTTTGTCAGTTTTGTGCGACGATCGGCCAAGCCGTTTCTTCATAATGGCAGAAAAGTGAAAAATTTTTCGTCTACGTTTTAGCCCGCAATTCTGAATCGATTTTGAAAATTCAAAAACCGTTCGAAAGATATTGGTTGGGAATCGTGCTGATTAGTTTTTGGTAGAGATCGGCCGGGCCGTTTTCTTGTAATAAAGTTTAAAAAAAAAAATTTCGACGATTTTTATGATTTTTTTGACGATAGATACCATAGTCTTCTAGATCATACTAAAATATTACGGCCCTACGACAACTGGTTCAGCTTTAAAAATTCGTCGAAGTTTGCAAAAATCAGTATGGTTTTTTGGCATTTGTCAAAATTAGACTTTTGATCGACGTTTTCTCAAAAACGCCTGAACCGATTTTAGAAATTTAAAAGCGATTTGATGTATTTCGGTGGGGACTATCGTTTGTCAGTTTTGTGCAACGATCTGACAAGCCGTTTCTTTGTAATTCGAAAAAACTTTTCGTCCACATTTAAGCTCATCCTACCGAACCGATTTAAAAAAATCAAAACTGTTCGAAAGATATAGTTGGGAATGATACTGATTAATTTAGGTGAAAATCTACCGAGCCGTTTTCTTGTAATTAACTGTTGAAAAAAAGTGTTAAATTTTCGACGACATTTAAGCTCATCCTACCGAACCGATTTTAAAAAATCAAAAACTGTTCGAAAGATATTAGTTGGGAATGGTACTGATTAATTTTAGGTGAAAATCTACCGAGCCGTTTTCTTGTAATTAACTGTTGAAAAAAAGTGTTAAATTTTCGTCGATATTTAAGCTCATCCTACCGAACCGATTTTAAAATATCAAAAACTGTTCGAAAGATATTAGTTGGGAATGATACTGATTAATTTTAGGTGAAAATCTACCGAGCCGTTTTCTTGTAATTAACTGTTGAAAAAAAGTGTTAAATTTTCGTCGACATTCAAGCTCATCCTACCGAACCGATTTTAAATATCAAAAACTGTTCGAAAGATATTAGTTGGAATGGTACTGATTAATTTTAGGTGACAATCTACCGAGCCGTTTTCTTGTAATTAACTGTTGAAAAAAAATTTAAGCCGATTTTCATGGAACTTTTTTTGGCGATATACATCATGGTCTTATAAGAACTTACTGTAATATTATGGCCTTACGACAAGTAGTTTAATTTTACAAATTCGTCAAAGTTTGCTAAATTATTATCGTTTTTTTTTTCAAAGTAGGATTGATAAAGTACATTATTACACATTTTTTTTGATTAAGTCGATTATTTACACATATCGGGAAGTTCATGTAACTTGCTCAAGGCTAAATACCAACCAACTAGTTATTATTATTATTATTATAAAATATTAATATGTATTTCAATAGCGTTGATATAATTTTAACAATTACTACGATGCTTGCATATGAATAGAATTTTATGTGTTTTTTAGCAACATGTCGTAAATAATATCTAAACTTCAAAGTAATAAAAAATTAATAAAGAACTTATTCATAAATTAATGCAGTCTTAATTTTCTTCTATTAGTGCAATATATAGACAAAAATTACATTACATTACAACATGACAAGAACAACGACTAAATTTTTCACACTTTACTGAGAAAATTACATATTTACCTCTTTTTAAATGACAATAATTTGTTTTAATTTTAGTATATTTAATATATTATAATAATTTTCATAATGAAATAAAAATTGTAAATTTGAAATTACTATTACAACAAGTTTGAATATGTGCAATATATTTATTCACTATTTCACGAAAATAGTGAAATCTAAATAAAATATCCTTATGAAGTAATATAACCTGAGGTAGTCATGTTGATTATAAATTTCTGTATGCTTGTAAATTTGGATTTTAAGCGCTTCATTTGCTTCTAAATAAACTTGAAGTTCAATATTGCTATTAAGTGAATATTGATAATTCTGCCAATAATGTCGTATTATAGTTAAATGTCAATTAAACGATCATCCAATATTAATTCTAGTTTAATAAAAAAGCGTAGCTGTGAGATAGATTTTTCTTTTATATAGAGTTCATTGAACAGCACAGTTTGATCGATCAAAACTTTTTTAATTATTAGTAACGATTCTTTCGTGATAAAAAATAATGTTTTGAAATAGTAAATTTATAACGTAAGAAAAAAAAATTGTTTATAAATGCAGAGCAAAAGAACGTTAGCGAAATTAGTTTGAAAATTATATTGACACTAATTTGTTTCTCTAAAAACTTCTTTATAATGTTGGAATAACAAGTTATATATCAGGATATTTGTTTAATTTTATAAAATATTAGTACATGTAGACAATAACTCAGACTAACATACTTCTTTATAAAAACTGTATAATACTTCATAAAAATATCTAAACTACAAAAATATTAAATGTTGATCTACGAAGATATACTCGTCAGTTCATAAAATCATCTAGCTATGTGATAAGAGATGGTTCTCTCAAATTTATAGAATGAAAATCGAATGATTTTGCATAAAAATTAGTTATATTAGTTATATTTTTATAGGTCCTTTACGGGTATTTGGAATTTATGCTGTGATTGTTTGTGTGAGAATAAACTCTCAATTTTCAAAAAATATATACCAGCGCTAGTTTTATTAATATATATATTTTTTTAATGAAAAGCCAGATCATGGCAAGGAAAATAAATCAATCTTAAATTTATATATATATATATATATATATATCAATAACTATTTCTGTAAGTAGTTTCTGAATCCAATATCATGTATTTGCACAAGTAAAGCTTAATAAATCTTTCAGTTTATTTGTATAGGGCCTCGCTTTTGCTACGTCCACTATTGGTAGTTTCTAACAACAAAGAAATATTTTCTTTTAGATTTCTAAGGCAAATTACAAGAAAATCTTTATCAGAGGATCACTTACGACGCATGAACTCAACAGAAAATTTATAGACGATAAAAGATGCAAAATGAATTTAATTCGACGTTCCTTGTGAAACGTTTCATTTATGTAATTTGTCAAGGCGTAAATTAATTTTTGCGA